CACTTCCCTTATCTGGAAAGTGTTAAACTGCATCGTCACTTTATAAACAACTAGCAGACCCCGCCACGCATTGTTGTGGCTCAAAATGTATCTATTATAAATTTATAACACTTCCCCGTGGGGGGAATTTTTCGAAAAATTTCTTCTTAGTGTACATTCTGTTGATGTACCCTATTAAAACGCAAAAAACCACATCTAAAATAGTATAAATAGAAGCAAAGTTCTTTACCATAAGCCTTAATCCTAACCATCTCCCTTAAGTGGGGGGAATTTCGACACGTATATTATATAAAAACACGTGCGTATTCAAATGCAGTGTTGTGTCAAAATTTCAAAGGAATCGGTAGGAATAAATGAACATTACATTTTTATTTATATAGATATAGAAGATGATCTGCTTTAGTTCATTTTCACAAAAAAGCATAATGCCTCACAGAAAAGCAAACTTAGGGCGTCGTACTCATAGTGCCATCTGTTGGACATAAAAGCCTTAACCTAGATAAAAGCCTTAGTTGGACATAAAAGCCTTAACCTAGCAGTAGAGCGTCGTTTATCCGAAAGCTGGTTATCCGAAACGTCCGTTATCCGAAAGCATTCCAGTCAGCAAATTTAAATTTTTGCTAGTGCTGTGGCGCTGCAATCTTCGGCTATTTCTCGGGCTACTGTACTCAAATATTTTACGTTTTTGATACTAAATTAACATTTATTATTTTTTTATTTTTCAATAAATTTATTTTGTTTGTACAAAGTAAAAAAATAATTTTTAACGATACAATAGTCTTCGTTAGGCTTAACATCGACAAAAATTCAACGTGAAGCGACACGCAACAGAGAGAAATTTCAACATGGGATAAATTAACATATTTTTTCGTACATGATTCGTTATCCGAAAAATAAGTTATCCAAACCACCCCAGTTCCCAATTGATTCGGATAAACGACGCTCTACTGTATATCTTTTAATTTATATGAATGTTTAACGGAATAATATACAGCATATGTCCACCGAGGTTCCATTCTAAATATTGGTGAAAGAATTTTTGAAATCGGATGAGTAGTTTCGGAGATTACCTGCTGCAAACAAACTTACATACATACATACATACAAACATTACCTCTTTATAATATTAGTATAGATATTTTCTTTTATTTTTTATATATTTTCCATACATTCATTATAAGAATAAAAAAATATTAACATTGAAATTATTTTAAATCATCATAAAAACATGATAATGTTTTCAAAATGTTTCCTCAACAAAACTGTTGATTTTCAAATATGGAAGATATGAAATGGCTTAAAAATAGTCAATATCAAGACTATATAAATAAAAAACTGGAAGTTTACAAAAAGATTGCTGATGTAACTAAAACCACCAACAGCAGATGCAAAGTAGAAGATATGAAGAAAAAAAAACAGGTTGAGAAGCAATATTTGGCATAAAAAATAAAGGAAAGTACAAATAACTTAATTTATTTATTTTACAGATGAATGTACAGTACACATATAATACATAGCATGTTTATAGAAATGAAATAAATATCCACATATACTTTTTCAAAATTAAATGGCTAAAAATGATGATGATAATCCAAATGCTACACCTTCAACCATCACAGAAAATGAAAACACATTGCAATGTCCAAGAACTAAGAACAAACTAGCAGCCAATGTTGCCTTGTTAGTTCAAGGATCAATACTATGGTGGAATGTCAAACATTGTGACCAACAAATCAACATATACAAGATTCAATTGACAGTTTTGGACGAACTACAGTGTCTAAATTATGTGACATTCACTGTGCAAAGCAATGATCTTGTATTATAAGCTAAGGAAAAATTTGCTGGACACTTGGAACATGACTGATTCACAGTCTCTGCCTACCTTTTTTTTATCATTATCATCAAAATCCCAGCCTATCACTTTGCAAGTTTTGGGAAGTAATTTAGATCATTTTCATTCAACTTTTTCTCAACAAAGGGATGATAATTCACAATCATACATATTCAAGAAAATTATTATAAATACAATTTATAAAAGTATTCTTTTACTTAGCATATAAATTTATCTGAAGATTCTAGACTGATCTAAAAGAAAAAAAGATGACAATCATAATTTTTAATTCATGTAATTTTTGCAAAATACAAATATCTATAAAAACAATATTGAAAGGATAATCATCAACAATACTTACTGATAGCAAAAGAAATTTTTAGACATACAAATATTCTACTCAAAACCAGAAATTCAGAAAGAAGTGCTGCATTACTTCTTTCTAATTATATTTTAATAGTAAATAAATTCTTATTGAAGAAGGAAATTCAATTTAGAATCTACTTAATTTTCAATAATTACAAAAAAAAAATTAGGTAAAACTCAAGCAAAACAGATAATGCACCTAATTACAGCCGACAAGAATCAAGAATCAAATCCTGGTTATCTTATTTAATTTTGTTCTGTTAATGCTCTCAAGAAGAGTTTAAAATAAAAATAATACAAAAATAATATTCCTCTAACTTTAATAAACAAAACAATGAAAATATTTTCCAAATATTAAATAAGAGCTTATTGAGCTTAAGTTATTAACTAATAAATTAGTATCAGCAATGATGTCACTAAATAATTTAAATATTTCAAAACTAACAAAATATGAATTTAATTTAATATCAGATTAAAAATTCTGGGCCTAAAAACAGCAGAGATTTTATCAGCTTGAACTTAGATTTAATAAAATTCCTGATAAACATTACCGATGAATAAAATCTTATTAACTTAAAAGTAATTTAATTCTTTTCTACACAAAATTGCTATCAAATTTCAAATTAAAAAAGGAATCAAATTACATATATTCAAGATTCAAAATATTTTTTGAAATTAATGTTAAATTATTACTTTGTCAATTTTAATTTTAAAAAATATTTAACTAAATTTTTTAAGCTTTGATTTAAAAAAAATAATTATGGTATTATCTCAATTATTAGTAGAAGTTACTTTTAGGTAAATGATGTATGTATATACAATGCATATATGAGGAGGCTTCAAAAAGTTCATGGAAAAAGGATAGTATGAAAAAACGATTTCAGTTATGATGTTTATTTTTCAACATATGCTCCATTAAGGTCGATACACTTCTGCAAATGTTGGTACTAGTCTTTAAGTTCATCTGAGTAGAACTGAGGGTCTTGTGACATGTCAGAGTAGCTCTTTTTACATCTTCAAGTGACGAAAAATTGGTACCTTTCAGTGACTTATCCATTTGTAGGTTGTTGACTTCTTTGGAGCGTGATCACCATAAACTTGTTTCAGAGCATCAATGATTTGCCTATTCTCCCAACCAAGTTTCACCATGAACTTTATGTTTGTTCTGGTCTTAATTTTGGTGGATTCCATGTTGCTTGAATGGTGCTTGACTTTCAACTGGCGGCGCTGTGTTCTTACCTGCATTTAAGGGTTCATGTTTGAACATGTTATAACACGTTGGTACAAGAGGGTTAAGATGCATTGAAATCAAAATTCTTCCAAACAATTTTTAGTTACAGACTTTTTCCACAAACTTTTTGAAGCACCCACGTACAGGTAGGCCTGTAGCTGGAATTTTATCAAAATCTGATTTTGCTGCTTGATATTTATGATCAATACCTACAGTTAATAGCTACGTTCAGCAGAGTCAACATTTGTAACCAAGCAAAGGTGTTTCAATCGGTAGGTGTTACATAGTTACATCTGCCGGATGATGAGTGACATATACAGTAGAACCCCTCTAATCCGTCACCTTTGGGACTGGGGGTATGGTCGGAACGCAAAAAAGGTTGGATTATCAGAAGAAAGTAAAATAAACAATCTTCCCTTTGTTCAGTCTTTGTAGTACTGCTAATTTTTAATTTATGAAAGAGTAATGTGTTTACGTTTCACTCCTGACATGTTGAAAACACACACAAAACTGTACAGTACATGTACACACAATATAAAACATATACTGTAACGAAACAGAAAAACACCACAAACGGTGAGTCACCGAAGAGTTGGGACAAGTTTCTCAACTCCAACCACGGTCGGATTAACCGGAGCAACGGACTAGCCGAGGGCGGACTAGAGGGGTTCAAATGTACGTTGGAACAAAAAGCAGCCATCATTAATCAGTTTCAGGTAGCAATAGGTAGCTTAAATGAAAGATGCTACCAAATGTGACATCAAAACACCAAACATGTTCCAAAACAGCACTACTGTAGAGGGCATTCAGCAGAAAAATACTCAACAGCTCTGGAACTTTTGAGTCTGCTGAATGCAGTCAATGTACTGTACCTATGGTACCTACAGTTATGGTTGATACGGTGGCGCATTACAACTTCACAGACCCTGACAAAGTTGAATTAGGGACTGACTTCAGATATTTTTCTTCAAGGGTAATTTTTGGTGGAAATGTTTTTTTATAGATTTGTTTGGATCCCCAGGAAATTGTCCTTTTTGTCCATAGGATAATTCACCTACAGCTCTGATAAGGCCCCCAACTGTCTCATTCAGAGCTTGAATTGTACCTCTCCTTCCCCATTCTTTCCATCCCCTCACACCCTCATTTATACTGCTGTACTTTTAATCCCGAAAAATACATTACTTTTCTGGTGGCGCAACATTAAGAGAGTAAGTCACAACCACTCAAAACCTCCAGTAGCTTCACCCCTGTACACATATTATCTAACATTATTCATTTACTCCAATAGAAATTACCTCCACAACGTTAATTTTTTCTAAATATGTATGCATTTTATTTTTCCAAATTAAAATCTTATTAATTTTTTTAAAAAGGATAATCAATTAGCATTCCCTTCTTCTAAATTAGTTCTTGATACCTACTTTTGGTAATCAAGACTATCAAACTCATCTCATGACGTCAAAACTACAAATTAAAAATAAATAAAAAAATCCGACGTTTTTTTGGTTTAAATTCAGTTCATTAGGCTTAACGAATTACATGATATAAACACGATAACAATATTTTCACCTTTTTTCTGGCCTTCTCGCCTCTTCTTCCTTTTCCTGGGCTCCCTTTCCGACATTGTGACCAAAACTTAAAAAATTTCTTAATTTGTTTAATAACAAAACTATCTTTTCATCGCAGACGATAACACATGGTCATATATTCGATCAGAGGCGTTCCGGAAATGCCTTACTTTATCATAAATAAAATTTTTAAAAGTTGACGTTATGTTAAAATATTTTTATTTATTAATATTGAGATAAATGTTAAAATTATTAATAAATTTGTTAATTTCAAAATCTAAAGTTTTTGATACGCGTATTTACTTTCTAATAAGATTAAATTTTTGATCGTCATTGGAAATCTTTAATTTTAACTATCGGTCTTGACTTTTAGATTTCAAATTTGAAATTAAAATATACGTTATTTTATATTTGTTCTCTTATGATAAGTTTATGTTATTTGTTTGTTTGTTCCTTTATGGAAAAAATCTGGAAGCATCTGACGGGCGAATGGCCGAGATGGATAAAGCGCCAGGCTACCTCCGCTGGAGGACCCAGATTCGAATAAGAATCCGACGGACCACCCCCAAAAAACACTAGGCATTTTTCGGGGTTGGTCTGTCTCTCGTCCCCCGACCACACACATTTTAGGTCTAACAGAACCCGTAATGGGTATGCAAAACCTTTAATACATCGGACTTATGAGTGTTGAATACAAGTAAGAAAAAGTCAATTAATAACAGGCCTGATAGCCGAGGTATAAGAAACCCAGGATAGGTCAACCTTAACTGCCCTGCAATCTGGTCATCTGATAACGGGCTTGCTTAAAAGGCCTTCAGTACCCATAAAGCGAAAAGAATTTTAAAAAAGATCAGTTAATAAAATTCTCCAAAAAAATTATACATTCAAAATTTATGAGTATTAATTACGTGATATCTACTCATACCGCACAATTTATAAAACAACAAAGTTAGCTTTTAACAATAACTACAAATCATTTTTGAGCCAATAATAATCAAAATAACCTCAATACAAAGAAAATGGAAGCTCTAAAATTATTTTACGATAGAGTAAAAGATCAAGTGACTAGTAAAGCAGATTCCCTCATAATTTTGCTGTATCACGCCGTCATTTCTAAAGGGATGTATTGCGTAGGCATTGGAGACAACTGGTCAGAAAACTTGACAAAAATCGATGCCAACGAACTACCCAAAGACTGGAACAGCAATCAAAAACTGTACACTTTGCGATTTGTGGACGTAATTGAAAATCGGTTTGTGATGAAAGTACACAATGATCATGAAATAAAGTGTCTTTATGTTAATTTTTACAACGTTAACGGAAACAAAACGGTAGCATTTCCGCTTAAAATATCCCTTTTGACTAGAGAGTCTTGGCAAGAATTCGAAACTGCTTTCACGGAAGAGATACAGAAGTTTCCAGTTCTTGTAGATCGTATAAAAGATACACTCTCTAAAACTGACCAAGAAGAGGAGAGGACCCTAGAAGACGTGACAAAAAAGAATGAGACGAAAAAAACCAAGGCATTTATTATAGATATAGGAAATATAGAAATTCCAGGGCTATCAACTTCGGGAAATGAAAATGAAGTATCTAAGATAAAGAAGAAAGATCCTACAAAAGAAAAATAATATTATTAGTTTAAAAAAATATAACTTTTTATTGATTATTCTAAAGTATTCAAAATTATATTATAATAAAAGTTATTTAAAATTTAAACATCTACATTGTGATTTTATTTTTATAAATAATTAGGTGACTAAACGAACGTTTTAATTACTAGGACCAATGCTTTTACCATCCTCTCTCGATTTCACACCCCCTCAAAAACCCGAGCAATGCCGGACGTGCGTCGCTAGTAATATTTAAAACTGCATTCGTACAATTTGATGTGGTGCATTGAATAGATAGACCTTGAATCAAAGATAGGCCTGATTAACAATTTTGTAAATAAATGTATTGTATTTTAATTAACACGAGATTTCTTAAATAATCAATTCAATACCAGGAAAAACTCCAAAAATAAATTATAATTTTTTCATTTACACAAATTGTTAATTTCATTATTTCATTTTTAATAATTATCAATTTAACATACCACACAAAACTAGATAATTATCATAATTGTTACACACCAAAATATCATATAACGCTCCCAATGATTCTACTGGTTGCGGGCTGTTAGCCCCTGCCTGCTAGATGTTTGGCCGCCCTCGTCCCATTATGTGAATCGCGAGTACTGTAGATTTATAACATCTTAACCTAACCGATAGGAATTTACTGGTATGATGATTTTATGATAGTTCTGTATAGTTGACAGGAGTTTAAAAAAATACCAGTGATATTACGATTTCGTATGTCCCATCTATAAGGGGATGTAGAAAAAAACGTGTACAATTCCTGTACAATGTTAAAAAATTAACTGTTATTTTGGTAGCATCATTTACAACTAAATTTAATGAATGAGATGCACAAGGTACAGAAAAAGCTCTAGAATTTATTTTCCTTAAATTTACGATTTATGAATCCGTTGTCATAAAAATTTGTCGTTCCACTTCTTTTCCAAGCCTACAAATATTCTAGTACAAAGTAACCGGTTTCGACTTATTTCTACTTAAGAAATAGTTAAATAATTAAGAGATTAGGGAATTAGGGACATAAATAAAACCCTGCTGAAAGAACCTGAATTTTACCTAAAAGCCAGTGGCGTGCCGTGACATTTGATGATAAGGAAGCTGTGTTTCTGTAAGAAGCCGATTTACACGGACAATCAGTTAAATGCGCGTCAGGGTCCATTCGTATTCGTTTGTTCGATAAGCCGTACATTTCTTTAAATGTATTTTTAACATAGAATCTGACGTTTTTTTTTATTTTCTTTTTGAAACCGTGTCCTGTTTTATATTTGTGGCGTAGTAAACACTAGTATTGTGTTTTATTCCAAAGACACATGGCAAGTTTTCCATCAAATTCCTTTATTAGTTGAGTCGAGTCACTACCTCCCCGTGCCGGGAGTGGGTAATTTGGCGCCTGCTGCCTTCCTTGCTGACTCGACTCAACGATACTACGCCACAAATATAATCTGACGTATTTAATAAATAAACAAGTTTAATATAATTACCTCCGTTATTAGATTCAATAGATTTTCTATACCCTCTAAATGCCAATTCTTGCTTTGAGAAAAAAACATATGTTTTATGTTTTATAAATTGAAAATTATAACGAGATAATTACGACTAATATATATATATATGTGTTACTGTGAATGACCGAAATCTGGCGAATGTCAACATTCTCCGGTGAATGTCAACATTCACACAGTCGTTTCGTGTGTGTATATATATATATATATTTGCTAAATATCGTTATTTCTCACTTACACCGGCAAATGTCGACATTCAGAATGCGCTGATGGTGAATGTTGAATAAAAATATTTTTATTACGTTAAGACAAAAATGCAACTTTTTAATATGTCAAAATAGGAGAAAGCTTAAGTAATAGTACATGTAAATAAACTGTTGAACCTAAAACGAACAGTACATTCTATATCATTAAAGAAAATAATACAATAATAAACTTACACATAA